CTTGTCCCTCGTTTCCTCTACAAGAGTACCTTTATCCGGCTCTAAATTCAACAGGATCATTTCATTTATTATTTTTATTATTGTCCACCAGGAAGAGTTCAGAAAGGCTCTTGCTTGCTGACCTTTTGACCCAGGAAAGGAGATGGAACTTGCCGTGAAGCAGCCTTCGACAGAAAGAAACCTGTCTCTGCTGATTCATACATGGGATAGTTACCAGTGGTCATCCACCCCTCCTTTTATTTATGCACTGCAGCTCTCCTTCCACACGATAATCAATGACACTCTACACTCAGGTTTTGGGAAGCTTTTTGGTTCGTATTAAACAGATGGGGTTGATCAATTAAGTGTCCCTTTTGATTGTAAATCAGGGCGTGTAGATATCCCTGAAATGTGCTTACATCTCTTTTTAGTCTATCAGTCACGTTCCAGAGAGAAACCTCGAAGTCCACGATCTGTCTCCGTCACTCTCCACCTTAAAGTGGAGTATGCAGTTGCCCATGTGCTAGTTAGACATTCGCATTTTCTAGGGATAGCATGAAACAGCACTGCCACTGATATAGATTAGGTTCTAATTTAATACTTATTGAAATTCATCTGCTCTAATTAAACAGATGCATCCAGCATGTGAGAATGCGTTGCCAAATGTAATGTTTCGTGTTGATGTTTTCTTCTTCATTTGATCTGAGTTACAAAATCATTGTGGTAACAATTGTCTGAATGCTTGATGGAAGCCACATGCCACCTTTTGGTTAATAGTTAGTCTGTTGATAACTAATGGTAGTTTTTCAAATCGGTGACGTTTGTTTATAATTGTGGTGATATTTCCAGAGATATAAATGGCCTGACAGCATAATTGTTTATAACAAGGATTAAGCTAGCACTTATACGAAATATGTACAACCATCAGTGGCTTGCTTTATATTGCATGTGTTAATTGATTATTGATTTAATGATTTCATCAGTGCTACTGTTTCCTTAAAACATCGGGTGAACGTATATTAAGCGATGGGTTGCTTGTCGAACGGTTGTTGGGAAATGGTGGCGATGGATCCTCGAAAGCTTAGTTAAATGCGGGGACGGGATTAGGTCATGTGTTTTGGTGTGGTATTAGTTGATTATAGTAGTTATATAGAATATGAGATTGAATATAGATTTTGAAATTTAATAAACTTCTGAGTTGTTATGTCTCTTTTTTCATAGCTATCCCTTGATCTTCTTTCATTGCTTGTATGCCCATTTGTATTGCAATATGTTCAATGTGTTTAGCTATGAGTGTTTTCAGATAAGCTACACAGTCAGATAAAATGTGAAGAGGAAAAGCAGAATTTTTTTTGCGGGGGAAATGATAAAACATGTGCCAAGACCAAATAATTATTATTGCTATGTTTTAACAACTGATGAGAAAGTAAAGTTAAAGTAAAATATTTATCTTTACACACACTCTTTTTACACACAAAAAATTTAACTAACAGTATTATTTACTAATGCTTTTAGATTTTTATCATATACTTTTTATTACATCAATATCTTCTTATTTGTATTGTCCCTTAAAATATTGAATATAAGATGATAAAAGACACAATATAAATAATAAATTATATAAATATAATAAAGCATGAAATAGATGTGGGAAGATATGACTCAAAGTAACTGTTCAGGTCAAAATGTTCTGTAATATTGTTATTGCCAGCCACAGATGTCGTCAGTGCAGAAGCACAAAAAGATGCTTGTAACTTTTAATAGCTGCTTACTTAATAACAGCCGCATCGTTAGTAACTGACCTGTCCAGGTCCGATGTGGTTACAGTCGGCGTTGGGACTGCAGCCTCCTCGACTCTTCAGCTGACAGTTATTGATCTCCACACACGCTTTGCCGTCACCTGTCCAACCCTCATGACATACACACGACGCGTTACCTGGACCCACATACACACACTCTGCCTGTGGAGAGAGTGGGGGAGGAAGAGGATGTGTTATGAAGGCAGGTAGTTGGCTTTGAATCTTACACACCACAGAAACGGGCAATTTACCAATATCATACATCAGACACATGCACAGAGACCCCAGCTGGTGTTCAAACACCTTACTGTTTTGCCTCCGACTGAATAAGTGCCCTTTTTGCTATAATTTTTCTTTCTATTTCTTTTTTAATTTTTTTAATTTTAGTTTGTACATTTGGCCCATGGCATAAATTCTCAAGTAACAGTGTGTTGTAATGCCCACAATTAAGCTTAACAACAAGTCAGCTAGTCTGGCGTAAAATGGCGTCGTCAATGAAAACAAGTAAACTCCAGTAGGCTAGTTACTCTTTTGTCAGACAACTGAAATAAATAAATATGCACTATTGATGCTGCTGTGAAGCAGGAGAAAGATCCTGCTCCCTTCAGAGAGCTACTGTGTGTGCACTGCCGGTAGTACCTGTTTGTATAAATCATTATGCATGGTGTTCATTCATTCTGTCTACATTTGAGGCGGGTGTTTGTGTGTGAGTTTCAGAGATAGAGAAAGTGCAGCATCTGTGCACAGGATGGATCTGAGAATTAAAAGCCGTAAACATAATAACAGGATTATGTTCAGGTTCAGGTTGGGTTCAATCCCGTCGGCTCGGCTAGTCTACTTGATGCTTCAAGTTCTTTTTTAGTGGAAATATTGTGTAAAAATAAATGCTGATGACAAACAATCCACCTATAGCCTACAGGATATAAAAACAATTCCTTTTGACAGTCATTTACAAGGTGCACTGTCTGCACATGTGTATTCAGGGTTAACAGGCTGAGTTGTTACCATGGTAACCACAATTGCGTGACAGGGTAACACAAACTCAGTGATTCAGCTTACATCAACTGCGTCGGGTTCGAACAGAAATACACAGCCCGAGCTGTTAATGTGAGAAAAAAACTGCTTCATTAAGAAGAAGAAAAAGAAGATATTAAACGTTTAAATGGGGTTCAACAAATTTACATTCTTTAGGTATTATTGATTAATGGTGAACTGATATGTTCCAACTCAATATTGTTTTATTATTATGAGATAATTTCTGATAATTTCTTAGGTTTAAACAATAACACACACACACACACACACACACACACACACAGAACCAGTAAGTCTTACGTTTGTGTCGCAGCCTCCTCGGTTGCTCTTTAGGCAGGGGTTGATGGGAGAACAGGAGTGACCGTCTCCTTCATATCCATCCCTACACACACACCTGGGGCAACACACACACACACATATTTCAGTACTGAGGTGATTTATGATGTTTCCACATGCAGTTGTTTCTAAAAGAAGCTAATCGTAATGTAACAGTAATGTTGGATGCCGTTAGCTACTCAAACTTGGTACGTTTTTCCCTTTAGTCATCAAACTGTTAAATGGGGGACGTTACACACATCGCTATTGGCAACCGTGACATGTCCCTCCCTAATTGCCATTTTTTTTACAGGACTATTACAGGACTGTATACACAATTACAGCACTGCCAATCTGACATTTAGCTGCTCATCTCAAGCTCAACCCACACAGCGATCAGTGTTGTGAGCAAAAACAACAAAGAGTGAAAAACAAAAATCAGAAAGTAATAGCAGTAGTATCTTACATTGTATTCAGTCCTGTGTGTGTACAGTATGCGTTGATGTGACAGTGTTCCTGCAGTCCGTCAGAGTTACAGGGCGTAGCCGTGTTGTCACAGTTTTCTCCGGAGTATCCCTCCATACAGGATCCTCTTCGACACACTCCTCTGGTGCCTGGACGGTTATCACACAAACCGTGGACACAGCGACACTCTGAAGGCACACACACACACAAACAACAAAGCATGTGATAATTTCACGTTAGTCATATAAGTCACAATAGCAGAACAACTTCACACCAGGCAAAACGTACCACTGGGCTTTTATTCAATTTCTTCTCTATGTACGGGTGCTTCACACACATTACAAAAGTATATATCATGTATTATTATAATTAAGTTATACTTCAGAAAATGGGACTCATGGATGATAATTACTGTTGTAACAGTAAAATATGAGGCAGGCACTCTTTCAGTTACAGGAGGTCAAAAAATCATTGTTCCAAAAGGATGAATCGTGACTTTGGTAATCCTCTGATTTTCCCTCTGAGCACCACCATGACATTTGGGTCCAAATAACTACTGGATGCATTGCCATTAGATTTGGTACAAACATTTGCAGCACTGTGGTAGATTGCGTCCTAATATCACTTCCTATTTACTATATAGTGCACTACTGTATAATAACTGTAGGTTTATCCACTTTACAGTGCCCTCAACTCTTCCATTGTCCACGGCATGAATGAGTTGAGAGAACTCAAACGCAGATGCTTTTTATACAGGACACAAGGAGTCACTGAATGGTTTGATGAGAATGAAAATGATGTGAATCAACTGGACACCTATGGGAGAATGAAGAGGGTTCCACAGACTAGGAGGTTCATATTGGTTTTTCCTTTAAATTGTTTTCTAAAGGCATAAATTACTGAGATTAATTAGACTCTACAGCAGTCACTGATTACAATGATTAAACTATTGACTGTCTATTATTATTATATAGGTAATAGTGAGTAATTGAATGAGAGAGTCATTTCAGTGTGTTTCAATATGTAAAAAGTGAAATTTTAAAGCTTAAACAAGTGTTACTTTGCGTGTTAACGTGGAGGAGCAGTTACCCTCGTCACACTTGTCTCCATGCTTGGATGGATCAGAGCAGATGTGGCAGGCGACACCCTTGAAGCCTGACTGACAGCTGCATGAGCCGTTGCCATGGATACCGTCAAAGCACTGCATGTGGTAAAAAAATAAAAAAAATAAATAAACACGTATGAAACACATTAGCTGAGAAAAAAGGGTTCAGTGATAGAGTGAGGTGTGTGTTGCTCACCGTTCCTTTGTCGTAGCAGGGATGTTGGAATCCTCCAATACAGGGTTTACAGTCCGGACCGTAGAAACCTTTACAACACTCTGCTACCTGTTCAACACAAACACACACGGTTTAAAATGCTAATAACATAACACAGATTAAGACACAAAAGTACCGAATACAAGTACCTTTTAAGTTGATATGGCAAATTGGGTTGGCAAGCAGTTAGTCGAGCAGGTACAGAGCAATATTACCATTTACTTGTTTCTGGTCACCTAATGAACGTAAGTCCAATATTTATTCTTCTTTTAGCAATGTTGTATGGGAAATATCTGACTCTTTAGCTGCTAAAAACTCCACTATGTTTATCAGTTAGTAGCTAAATAGCCGAAAATGATGCTACACAATCAGTCAGAATGAATTTAAAACTCTGTAGACTTAAGGGAAACTGGAGAGTTGGGTTTATAATTATCTTTGTGTCGGTCACTACCAGTGGCCTTGTTCACGTACAAGTAGTCATGTGATCCACTGTAAAAAAAACTGTCATCTGATTTTTTTTATTGTTATTTTTCTGGACTTTTAATGATCATTTTCTTCAGATTTCAATGAGATTCGTGGAATGTTTCTGATTGGTGTCTTAAATAATACAAACTTTAGGAGACAAAAATGTTTAACCATATTTGCAAGAAACTACAAAACAAAAATGGACAGTTTTGAATTGAAGTTCTACAGTAGGATGAAGAAATATCACAAATTAAGCACAGTGTTAGTTCAGGGAGGCCACGAAGTCCAGCTCAGCTCTCAATTCTAGCTACATCAGCTGATCGCAGCTAGTTGTAAACACACATCAGCTGACAGCTCAGTTGATTCCCTCAAGCATCCACTTGGCAAATATCATTCATGGCACTTTTAAGCTGCTTTAGCCTGCCTATCTTTGCTGCTTCCTCTACAAGCCGTTTTGCAACCCACCTCCACCCCAGCCCATCGTGTATCGTAATTAATAAATGGCATTTTCGATTGCCATTGAGGTGCTTGCTCGGGTCTCGAGCCGGCTGGGGGCTCATGCAGCTGCTCCCCTTGTCGAACACTTTTCCATGTATGGCACTTGGAAGGCAGGAGGTCCCAGAACATGATGCCATACCCCAAACTGGTAGATAAGTTTCTGCTTGGAAATAAAAGTTCTTTTGACAAAAGTGGTCCTGACTGAACTATGGTTGGTTCACTCACACTCCCACAGTCAACACTGTAAACATCTCCCCATTTGAAGGCACCATTAGTAGTAAAGACAGCTGAGGGGTCGATAAATAAAGCTAAAAATAAAGTTCCTGATGCACTGTTCACTGATCCCACTCTCACCTGTCTGGTGACGTTGCAGAATTTGGCACATCCTGTACTGAGCGTTGGCCTGAGAGGAGACGTTACGTATTCACAGCCGATCTGATGACGGGCCTGGAGACACACACACAGATTTGTTGGCTTTCTGTTCTCATCCACATTGGTTTAATTGGGTAGAAATAAGGTAGGTAATTATTAATTCTTTGTAAAAAGGTTTTTATGTAATGTAATACAGTATTTAATCGCCACAAGCAGATAACTGTAATCTAAATTCCCATATTCTTTCTGTTCTTAATAGATTGAAAACCAGCAAGTTTGATTGGCTGATTCTTCACTTTGCTGCTGTTATAGTTCTTTATTCTTCTGACACTAATTATAATCTTTGTTATTCAAGATAAAACAAATTACATCACGATAACCTCACCCCTTTTAGTGTTCAGAAGTCTTTCTGTGTCCATGAACACAACTTTACCGAAAGCTCCTCCATATATTTTATCACCTTACAGTTTATTAATCTCTGCTCATGGATTACCCAAACTGACGATCTATTAATCCGTTTGCCTCAGATTTCCACATCAACAGTGTTTGTTTCTTTTACCATATGACACCCCCCAGGGGACGCTGCATAGAATACAACAGAATAGAAAGTTTGCAGTAATAATGATTTTTTTTACCATTTCAATGCTGCCAGTTGGACATTCAGTCTCATAGAGGTAACTGCAGTGAACACATGGACCCTGAAAACACACAAACACACACACACACAAAGACACACAGAAAAAAATTAATACTGAGCTTTTTTACTGTTAGCATTACTGTCATCTTTAAGCTTCTATTGGCCTGTTTGACCTCTCTGTGTGAAGAGATTAACTATTATAAATCTGTATATCTATCTATAAAGCCATTTTGTGTATGACACACACTGATGACATGTAGTTAAAGGAGTTAACTAGTCAGTTAGACAGCTACCTGGTAGATCTGTTTGTATCCGTACATTAGGAGGTGATTTAGTTCACCTCAGAGCCTCTAACCACACTCGTCATATAAATAAGCAAGCTAACGTTAGCCACTGTCAGCTAATGTCCTCTCAGCCTCCCTCGGCTCACCAAGGTGATCTTGCTCTCGACAATGTCACAACGGTGAGGCAGGATGGGAAGGATGGAGGGCGGGAACAGAAGCCCGTCAATCATATGGATGATCCCGTTTGACGCCACAATGTTTGTGGTCACCAGATGGATGCCCTTCTCGCCCAACAGGATCTCACCCTGGAGAGGGAAGAGGGTACCTAGTGTTAATGTAAAACTGCTGATGTTAGATAACACATACAAAAGATGAGAGACACTGTGAGGAACCAATCAGAGACACTTACATCGATAGACACTGTGATGGTGACAACCTGATTGGCCATCGTCTGAATCTGAGGGAGAGTAGCCAACTCGTCGAATGTCAGCTACAGACAGAAACCATAATTATCAACTGCAAAGATTGTTCGTCCAATTTGTGACTGATAAAAAGCTAAAATATAAAATGTAAAAGAAAAGAACAGGGTGATTAAATCTGAAAGATTCATCTTCTGGAGAGCAGGAATGGGCTCCGGAAATACCAGGACAATTTGACAAGATTCGATGTGTGTAGAGGTAGTCTTTTAGATTAGGAGATAGACGGAAAGGCATTTCTTTCTTCACCTTTTTCAGAAGCAGAACAAAAACAACACGGTGGGAGTGTCTTACCACAGCCTGGGAGAAAACATGGTGTCTGAGAAGTTCCTGAAGTTTATGTTTGGCCTTGAAAATGAGGAGAATATCATTTATATCAATATCATTTAAAAATCCTGATAATCTTCACATAGCATAATGAGTGGTTGCTGACATTATGTTAGGAAATTACCAATCCCTTTAAGATAAATAAATAAATAAACAAATATTTGTGAGTCAGAGTCTTCAAGTACTGAGATTCAGACTTTCACATTGTTTTGATGGGATTTGTTGATAACAGAAAAATGTACAATGTCAGCAGACATAACCTTTAAAGTTACCTGTATGTTATCTGCACTAAATAAATGTGAACATAAAGACTAATTACACCTACGTCGTTCAGCATGTACAAGATGCTGCCATCTCTGGCTTTGTCCACAGCCTGGTTGGTGGGGACGAACACAGTCAGGGGTCCCGGACCTCGCAGGGGAGGAGGCGACCCGCAGTTCTATAAAACACACAAAAACACATCATATCTGATTAGAGCCCAGGATTTAGTATCAAGCAAGTAGAGCAAAATGTTTAATTTATTCCTTACACTTTTGCTCTTATGTTTCTGGCTTTAGAGAAGGCAAAAACACAAAGGTTCAAAAAACATATAAGTACTGGCTTTCTGTGTTATTACCATGCACACTGTATCGACATGTGGATAAGTCCAAAGACTGACAGATCTGCTGTGCTCTATTATGGTTTCTAAGCTATGATTAGATTGCTGATCAGGGGAAGAATCAGGACTGCTTCGTTTCACTGATTCCTTCTCAATAAAACCAAAAATCTATGTGATGTTATTTAAAATACTCACATCAACCAAAGACAGGAAGCGGTTGTATTTTCTATCCTTAGTCAGAATCTCTCCGATCGTCTTATCAGCAAACTGGAGACAAGTAGAAGATGAAGATCAAATTACTTCACTTTCATGGATTACTGTAAAATCATCCTAAATCAGAGTTAAAGATATACAGATAGACTGCAGTGTTGTAATGCAGGCGACACTTCAGTTAACAGGACATCGTCTAGTATACATTTAACCGGATATATTTTAAATTTTACAAAAATCTTAAGCACTAGAAAGAAATCAAAAACAACAGTTTATTTGAATTTGAAGCAATTTTTGTGAGACTTTGTTGACTTTGTTAGATTTAGTTAACCAATGTGTAGATGTTGCATTTTTTTGGTGTTTTCAGGTAGTTTTCCAGATTTGTTGAGGTGACCCTTTAACTCACCTGTTCATCACGCGGAGGGCTTTCTGAAAGCGTGATTGTGATTGGTCGGTCGATGAGGTGGATGATCCCATTGGCTGCTGGCAGGTCTTGCTGGATGACGTTGTACAGTCTGCTGGGGTCTTCCATCAGGATGAACTTCTACATCAGCAAGACAGGAACAATCAGTCTGTTTACTTGCACTTCAGACAATTATTTGAATTCTTCAACACGCACTGATATAAATGGAGCATTCACAAAATATGTCCTACACACAATCACCGCCCCTGTAGTTGCAGCTGAAAGATGAGCGACGAGTTTGCTAGGTGCAAAAAGCTCTTACAGCTTTAATACACAAAATAAACTCACAATATGTCAAGAGAAGGAAATATATAAAACATATAAAACACCTATTACCTCATTAAAACTGAAAAAAAACAACCTTCTGAATTCAAGTTTCTCGCTTTAACTGAAAGAAGACTAGCTTAACTGTCTTATTAGGTAATGTTAAAACAGACTTTATTAAAACTAAATAAAACTCACCACAACCGTCTTCATTAGTCTGTCTACAATCGGCAACTCTAAACAAGTTACTTGTGAAAATATTCTGGCTCTACGTGCTGTCACTGCCTCTCTGATGCCCGAGCTCGCTCTCTCTCCTCTACTGCTTCACACCTCTCCTGTCTCAGCCTGTCCCCACTGTGTCCTCATCTTCCCCAGAGTCTTGGTTGGAGCCTCTGTCAATCACCTTCTTACTGTAGTCCTTGTCATTAAACTACCAGAGATAAACCCTTAAATTCCCAGAGTTAGATGTGAAAATATTCCGGCTCTTCAGCTGTTTTCCTCTCACTTGTTCTTTGGCTCAGTGTGTGTACTCGTTCTCCAGAGACAGACCATCAAACCAGCTAAATAAAATGGACCCTGTGTTGTATCCTTATTATTATCCAGGCAGTTTAAATATTTCAACCTCATGAGGACTTTTCCATCAGTAGAATCACTCATCACAATATTTGTCCATCTTCAGTTTGGCTGCTCAACATTCAAAATATTGTTTTAATTTTCTAAGACGCAGGTCAAAGAAATTAAGCTGGAGAGGAGGTGTTACCTTGTTGTCTTTGCTCCTAAACCTGGCTCCTCCGTACAGGTTAAAGTCTCGTCCCTCCAGGTCCTTGTAGAGGTGTTGACCTAGGATCAGGTGGTTTTTACACACCAGCTCCTCATTAACACCCTGCGTGTGTCAGAAGATCAATAAACTGGAATTTATTTATTGCTCAAAAGTAGAAAATGAAACAAAGATGCAAGAGATGAATGAGGGCACAAGTGCAAGATTTTTTTTCCAATTATTTTTCTAATTTTAGATTTTAGTGCTACATTTGGGTTATGGCATCAATTATCAAGTAAAAGCATGTTTTAATGCCAGACAAATCGAGCACCCTGTGGAGCGGCCTGATCCACATCTCCCTGACTTGCCTTTTATTGGTGCATTTTATGTATGAAAGGTGCTGTATGAATAAATTGTATTATTATTATTACTGGTTCCATAAGTCTCAGCATTGTTTGTCACTGCTGTGAAATTAAACCATTAAAACGTCTCGCAACAGCCATTCTAACTTATATAGCCAACCATTAAGCTTAACAACAAGCCAGCTAGTCTAAAGGCGTAAAGTAGCGTCGTCATAGCACTGCGGGTAGTATTTGGCTGTTGGTTGGTGTAAATCATTATGGATGGTATTCCCTCTGTGTACATCTGAGGCAGGTGTGAGCAGTGGTGGAGGTAGTACTAATACCACACTGTACTAATACTAATACTAATACTATAAAAAGTAAAATGTCCTGCATTAATAATGTTACTTAAGTGAAAGTATGTAAGTATTCTGTAATCAGAAAAATGAATGTAAATGTAAGTAAAAGTACTCAACACAGAAAATTGTCTTAATGTTTTGAATTCTCCTTAACATCTTCTGTTTTAATTCTGGCTTTAAATATCGGAAATTTTAAATTTCTAACTCAGGTTTCTATGGTTACCTCAGATTTCAGTCAGGATGTCTGTGTGTGTGTGAGTGTGCGTGCCTAGAGGCCTTACACTGCTTTGTTCTAGTTTGTACTGACCATCTGCCACTAGTTGTCTTTTTTTCAGGATGAGCTAAGTGTGTGTGTGTGTGTGTGTGTGTGTGTGTGAGCAGGATGGGACAAGATGATAATTATTACCTCCGACAAGGAGGTTATGTTTTCGGTGCCGTTTATGGGTTTGTTTGTCTGTCAGCAGGATTACAGAAAAAACTACTGGCCCAATTTTAATGAAACTTGGTGGAAGGGTGCAGTGCTGTTCGAGAAAGAACCAGTTAAATTTTGGAGTAGATCTGAATCATGGGCTCCATACAAAAATTATTTTTCACTTTCAAAACGGCAGAAATCCAGGAGATGTGTGTGTTTCTGTCCTGAGAAACACTGCGGCGATCATTAAAATCAAACTTTGACACCAGACAGACAGACAGGTGACCTACAGTCAGAGGTGTTTTCAGCAGAGGGATGAAAGCTGTGAATGGTCCGTTGTGACTCATCAGCATTAAGCAGCCTTTCTCTGAAACACACACACACACACACAGATCAAGATCCACTTTATTATAGACCTTTTTCACAGCATAAAATAGTAGGGTTAACACTTCACCATCCCCTTCAAAGCTAGAAGGAGAAACTATGGTGGCCATGAAATGTGTGAAAAATATGATTGCTCCTATCTAGAATCAGTGTTTGGTTTGTCCCTTCTGGGCTACTGTAAACAACATGGCAGTCCAACATGGCAGACTCTATGTAAGGAGACCCGTAGCGTCTGTAGATAAGAACAGCTCTTTATAAGGTAACAAAAACACAACCACTCCACACGTATCAGTGGTACCTGTGTTTACCCTATTATTTCATTCCAAACTAAAATCAAGAGAGAAGAATAATAATTGTTCTTCAATCAACTTTTCATTTTCATCAAACTTTTGTGTTTATTTGTGGTTCTTTTACCGAACAGTGCGATGGCTCCGGTCAGATTCTCTCTCTGGCTGCTACTCCTGTCCAGCTCTATCAGTCGCTCCATCAGGTTACCATAGCAACGCCAGCCATCACCAATCTGACCCTCTAAACACAAACACCTGGGAGAGAGGGAAGGTAAACTAATGACAATGTAAAGAGCTAAAGGCAGAGAGACAAACAGGGTCTGACCCTCACTTTATTACTAGTCGTGGTTTCAGACCTGACTCTCGCTTTAGTACTGGACCTGGTTTTAGACCTGGACTTACTTTAGTACTAGTCCTGGTTTTAGACCCGACTCTCACTTTAGTACTGGTCCCGGTTTTAGACCTGACTCTCACTTTAGTACTAGTCCTGGTTTTAGACCTGACTCTCATTTCAGACCTGACTCTCGCTTTAGTACTGGTCCTGGTTTTAGACCTGACTCTCATTTCAGACCTGACTCTCGCTTTAGTACTGGTCCTGGTTTCAGACCTGACTCTCGCTTTAGTGCTAGTTCTGGTTTTAGACCTGGACTTACTTTAGTACTAGTCCTGGTTTTAGACCTGGCACTCATTTCAGACCCGACTCTCGCTTTAGTACTGGTCCTGGTTTTAGACCTGACTTTCGCTTTAGTACTGGTCCTGGTTTTAGACCTGACTCTCATTTTAATACTATTTCTGGTTTTAGACCTGACTTTCGCTTTAGTACTGGTCCTGGTTTTAGCACCGACTCTCGCTTTAGTACTGGTCCTGGTTTTAGACAAGTTGAAGCAACACTTACTAGCACCAGCCCAGAACTAACTAGGTGTAGTACCTAGGTTCACGTAAAGGAGGAAAGCCTAGTACTGGTTCTAGTGCTGGTTTTAGTGCAAGAGACACAAACAAACAAAGACAAAGAAACTTGCTCCTTGTTCTTGCCTAGTTCTAGTCTTGTGTCCAGACCTGGTTCTAGCTCTAGTTCTAGAGAGCAAAAGTGTTTGTGTGTCTGACCTGGGTTGTCCATCCAGTCCAGTTTGACAAACAGCTGTGGCGTCGCAGGAGTCCGCTAAGCAGGCAGAGACCAGCTCACAACCAAACTCAGCCTTGCCACCAATGGGGGACATACCGGACATACACTCGCAGCTGGACTGAGAGACACACAGTGAGGTTAAAGACATTGAGATTTCGCTCTGGTTTTTATTCTGGACTCCTGCTGTTGTCCTGGTTCTTGACCCAGGTCTGGTCCTGAATGTGGAGGTGTTCTAACCTTGTTGGGTCCTTTGAAGACACAGATGGTAGAGTTGATGGGGCACCCTCCATTGTTCACGGAGCAAGGGTTTTTGGGTACGCAGATCCTGCCGTCACCCTCGTAGTCGGGCTTACAGACGCAGCTGATCTTTGACCCCTGTGTGGAGCATTGGGCGTTGACGTCACAGCCCCTCCCCGAGCAAATACCTGAACAGGAAAATCGAAGATCTAAATCAATCTATTTCTGGCTGTAGTTCTACTCTTATTTCAGAACCTGTTTCTAGTTCTCGTTCTAAACCTAGTTCTGTATCTGGACAACAAAAGGGGGATTGTTCTCACAACATAATAAAGACAATCTCTCAGGACTTTCAGGACTTTTGGGGACAACATCAACATTTGATAAAGTCACAGTTAATATGAGATTAATGTCTGCAGCTTCTCTAGCAGCTCTGTGTGAAATATTAATTACAGAGAAAATAAAATGGATGAGCAATAAACAGAAACTATTCTTAGATCCTTACCAGTAGTGTAAAGTTTGTACTGAGTGTGACACCAGAAGAAAGGTCATGTTGCTATCCACATCAAAAGAGTTTATCCTCTGTGCGGGGGGCATTTTAGGCCCTAAGACCCGAAATCTCTATACTCTCAGACTTACCTTAACTTACATCAGGATAAGAAGAACTTCCACTTTGAGATAAAAGTTAATATTAGCATACTTGCACAAATTAAACCAATAAACCAAAATAACTAGAAGTTGAAAGAAAATATAACAGGATGTATATTTACTTCCGCAATTTCCCCGTGACGTCTTCTGGTATCCGGGCAAACATTCACACTCTGCAGCGTCTCCCTCTCCTTTACAGTAGGAGTAGGGGATGCAGTTACTGCACCTGGTACTCACTGACAACGACACAGACACAACAACTGAGGGCAACAACTGAACAATGATACAGACAGACAGTAAAAACAAACTGGAGCAGTGCATATACACCCATCAGTCATAACATTATGGGCACCCTGCTGGTCATAAATACCTATTCAAATAACCTTTATGTGTTTTCTTGTAGTTTTTTGTTCACCTTTATGTTTAATGTCAAGTGTCTTTTCATGTTTTTGTATTTTGTATGCCATGCAGAAAATACAATTAACACATTTCTTATTATTATAAGTATTATTATAGTTATTTAATATAATTATTGATCTTAATAATATGCATTATGATCTGATATATCTTGATATTGTTTATGTAATCTCATACAATAAAATCCAGTGTGTCGTGGTCTTACGTTGGTCACAGCGCGTCCCGGTGTACGGAGGCTGACACAAACACTGTCCATCACCCTCGGGACCTTTATTACACACTCCATGCACACAGTCACACGCTGTACAGACAGACACACAAACAGAACAGTCAAACAACTGTGGGAGGTTCTTTAAACATACAGTAGTCTTTCAATTTAGTTTGTTTTTCACAATTATTCTTTTGACTGAGACTCTCATACATGAACACATTTTTACCAGAGATGTCAGAAGTGAGAAACATACCTTTATCACACTTATCCCCAAAAAAGTTTTCATTTTTACATTCCTGACAGGCAAAACCAGAGAAACCTTCCTAAAGAAAGAAAAGGTGTGATGTTTAGTTATAAATACATAATGAGCATTATTGATCTCTAAACGTAAGATAGTCGCAGATGGACAGTCAGACGGGATACTGACATCACAGACGCAGGTCCCGTTGCCGACGTCTCCTTCCACACAGGTTCCATGGAAGTTACAGGTCTTCCCTGACCAGCTGGGACAGGCTACAGACAGAGAGACAGACAGACAGAGAGACAGACAGACAGGAAGACAGAGAGGGGCGGGTGCATTAGAGGAGCATGATCCACTATTGAGTTTTTATTGATTCTCTTTTCCTGCTGATTCCCTGTGCAATTAGTGGCCAATCTTGCCTGGTTCAGCGCTCAGCAATGCTTGTCATTTTCCTTTCGATTGGGCTTTAGGGGAGGGCAAACACCAGGAAGAAGAAGCTTGCTGAAGAAAAGTGTGCCAGATATAAGGAGGGAATTCTTTTGTTGAGACCGTACGGTGATAATAACTAACCTTTATCCCGGAAGTATTTTTGGTTTACTTTGGTCTGCTTGCTTATAGTGTTAACCTGGAACGAACTGAGATGAACACAGAGCTGCGAGCAGGACATCAGGTCACACGACAACCACGCAGTCCGACGGCATTCTGTGCCTGACACAATTTAATATCCACACTGTGGTGAGATTACTAAACAAGATCTCGCGTCTAATGTGTGTCACCACTGTACGACTATCAGCCTAATAATCATGATCATATATTAAAAAGAGAAAGAAAATATTCATGTCATCTATCTGCAGCCGCTCTCATTCTTTGAAAATGTACTAAAACAACAAGTCAAGTTAGAGCTGTGCGATTAATTCGGGATTATTCCAAATTTCCCGCTTTTAAAAAAACAAGGCCCCAATCCACTCAAGTCACCTATCTGCCACGGAACATATAAGAATTGTTTTCCATAGTAACTCCCTATGAGAATAAAGAGCCCCAGTGGATGAGACATACAGATGGTGTTTCACATCACGCCAAAGATATGGTGTGTCTTTGTAGTTTGTTTTTTAAGATGAAAAAAAAAATCTGATTAAAATCATAAATCCAATGTGGAATGAGATTTTATTTTGTAAGCTATACAGCCAGTTCTGTTTTTTGTTTAAATGCTTACTTAAAGTCTTGTTTAACATCTCTTATTCTGCGTAGTTTTCTGGAACAGTTTGTTAAGATGTGGGTCGTAGCCAGCAGTCACATCCGTAAACATTGGGTCCTTAACCAATTGCTTCCAACTTCAAACCACTGGACCAAAACGATAATC